GTATTGGATTATAAAGAACATCACAAACAGATAAGAGAAATGAATTAACACCGGCCTTATCGCGGCCGCTTGCCAACACGACGGTGAACTTCAAATTTGCACGAAACAGAAACATAGAATTTTAACTGAAGTAATCCCAGTCACATAATTAATATCAAATCATGGAGAGATAAAAGCTTGTGCATTATATCTGTAACGGTGGAAATAAATAAATAAATAAATAAACATAAAATGGATATATTTCATTTGCAGTTCTTACAGCACTAGGAGACCGAAGAGATGTTTCACCCACAGAGAACTGAAGATTCGCATTTGCAAGCAGATGATATAGTTTGTGCGGCTGGCAGCGGCGTTCATGACAAACTGATGCAATTTCAGCGGTGTCGCAAGAGCGGCCTGATATTTGTCTCGTTCTGGTTCCTCCGAGCTCCAGATTTGAATCGCAGGGGTCCAGGGGCCCTTCTCCTGACAGGACACAAATAATTACAGGCCGCTCTCTTCATTGGCTCTTATATTGCTCCTCTTATCTGAAGGCCTGCGGTGCATTTGATCAAATAAGGTCACTGTATTCTGACCATAACACAACATAACACTGCTATTTGGCGATACGATAAATAAAAGCCAGACAACGTTTTATCAGTTGTGTTATAGGCTATGTGTGTGTTTAAGAAAGTATTTTCACTAAATGGGTTTTGGCTACAAGTCTGACTGAATTTCCAGGTCCTCTTCCAATGCAGACGATTATTTCAGAGCAGTTTGGTCTGAATGTAAATATGCAGTACATCACCTGTCCTGCAGGGGGTCATCACCTGACCTGTGTCGGCACACATGCAGTGCTTCTACAGAGCTCAATTTATCTGTCATTACAGGAATTCCTCAATTAATGTCGCCCCAGCTAAGAATTTTTGGTTTGCAGAACGTTAGTTTATGGTTCACGGTTAGCCAGCAACGTTTTCTTTGCATAAAGACAACGTTCCTGTAGGACTGGAGAACATTCCCCTAACATTGTCAGTACGTTCCCAGTCACGATGTTCTCAAAACGTTCTTTTTTGTAACCTAGAACGTTCCCAGAAAGTTCTTATTCGATTCCCCCAAAACAACCAAATGGGAAGATTAAAATGGGAACATTACGGGAACATTCTTGATTTTTGACTGTCACGTGTATTTTGATATTTCATATTAAAAGGGGGTTTACATGCATGTGTGAGTCATTTTAGTATAGAAATGTACTCTCCTTGCACACACTCACAAAATATCCACATTTGATCTAATTGACAAAACAATCATTTTTATCAAAAATTATCAGCACCTTACACTACCAGAAAAAAAGTCTAACAAATACAAACAAACACGCCTGACAGTTGCAATGTAGTGCTGTTTGCTGAATCAGTGTGAACTGGCCTTTATATTTAGCATGATATATTACATGTACTGTATGTAACCGTTTATCTTAAGCAGTTTGTACCAAAATCTGCAAAGACTCGAATAACTGAGTAAATTGAGTCATCTTTTACTCACCCTCATGTCAGTCCAAGTCAATTTTATAATGTTCTTTCTTCTGTAGAACACAAAAGTAGAAATCAAACTTCATAAAGGAAAAAGAGCACCATAAAAACGCAAAACAGCATCCTGAAAAACCCCATAAAAGTATGCTTACAGCAGTTCATGTGACTCGTACTACATTCCGAGTCTTTTAAATGCAATAATTCATCAAATAAACCATCTTTCTGTCATTATTTACTCACCCTCACGTCGTTCAAACCAAGGACAAATATCTTCTTTTGTGCTTCATTGAAGAACCTCATTCACCGGGGTTAACCTCATTTTCCGGCTATATATGCAAATGAAGTGATTTAGGCGTTTATTATTATTTAAACGGATGGTTTTCGGTGGTGTATTATAATTATTGACATAAATCCTTTAATAAAGTTGTTACTGTATGATTCGCGCAAATGGTCAAATGACCCAAAAGAACAAAAACAAAAATAAAAGTTACTCCTTAGCCATAACAAAAAAAAAAAATTGCACACAATGCGTAAATTACCAAGTGCATGAATCTTTCTTTGTGTGAGTTTTATATAATTTCGTGGCCTACAGAATCACAAAAACAGAACATAGATTATACACAAATTATGCAGAAAGAAAACTGTTTGGCACACCACCCTCCAAATAAAAAAAAGACATTACCAGCCTCACATTATCCTATATACATATACATATACATATATATATATATATATATGCTAAATGCAATGGATTGACTAGAAATCAAAACTAGATTTAGGATTTAATAAGGGTTAATTTATATATTGTAATACTGTATATATATGTGTGTGTGTGTGTGTGTGTGTGCGTGTGTGTTTATATATATTTACATTGTAAAGTATGTTCCTTGTTGATTTTTCATTCAGATGTATTATATGTTCACAAGTGTTATAGACAAGAAGTACATTAGTTTCTTCGAATGTGACATGTGAATGTATATATAGTGAATATTTATTTATATTTACAAAAAAAAAAATTCCTACGAAATATATTGGTAGGAAATATATTCATGAAAATATATTGTGAAACATTCTTTAGCAAAAATATTTTTGTCAATTTTTTTTTTTATATAATTAAAAAATATAAAAATATATATATATATTTTTTGTAGACATTCCCCCCAAAATTATCAGTACTGATGCAAAAATGTCTCACTCTCATTACTATGATGTGAAAAGGGTATTATTTACTTCAAAGTATAATACATCAATAATGGCAGGATTTGTTTCACTGCCTTTATGTGAATTTAACTTGACTGCAAAACATCCCAGAAAAATGACTATATCACAATAATCTGAATCTAGCAAGAATCACCAAAGAGAACATGAAGTAAACCACAGTCAGACGTCCATAACAATATAATCATATTTACCTTCATCTCACTGTAGGATTATATGAACATGTGAATTTAATGTAACAGCATGTCACAGTGCAACACACCTTAAAGATCCTAAAACTAAGACTTATTTTCTTCATGCAAAGCATTGTTTTCCCCGTGTTTCGGTGAGAATCAGCTTCATCAGTTTCTGTTAGAAACACCTGCAGCCATTCACTCCTGCAGAGCTGCAGACGCATACACGACAGCCTTCATCATGAAGCAGCTCCTAATGCCACGGCGGCTGTGACAGCTTGCCAATACGACGGGACAGAGATGAGGACAGGCCTGGGCTTTTTGACGTATATGCAGAGCGCTGAAATGCTCGGCGGGGCCTGTCAAGAACACGCTTTCTTTTATTCCTCTGTTTAAGTGAGTTTAAGCAGCGATGTGACAGACGATCTTCTGCTCTCTCTCTCTCTCTCTCTGAAAAACTAAATGCAGTTCTTAAGAAACATTTCCAGCTGTTTGTTTTTACTAACAGAACTAGAAAAACATATGAACTCTGAAAAGAAATTTAGGGGATCAACTTTTTTACAAAAATGCATGGTTGAAATCTAAGTTGCAAACTTTATTTTGATGAGCTCTGTTGAGATAATAATGCTGATCATTACATGAACTTAATATTGCATGCAAATTATTATTATTTTTAAATAAGTTACAGTAAGTTAATATACAAGTGCAAACTTGGCAGTAGATTTCTAGTTCCCATTATGCTTTGCATAGGACTGGATAAAGAGAATTATTATTTTTTAATTATTTAGTGAATGGAGAGACCTGTGACTGTTTAATGCTGTTATGTTTGACATTTAACCCCTTAACTGTCACCCCCCATTTTTAAAAAATAGGCATGCAGGTGCACTATCCAAACTTAAATTGTTGTAATTTATGAACACTTTGGAATACAGACATAAGGTTGGTCTCTTTTTAAAGAAGAAAATCAGCAGTTTATCGCAAATGTGGAAGTATCAAAAAGTTATGCTAGTTTAAATTTACTGTAAAGAAAATGCACTATATTAATTTTGTTATTTTATTTATAATAAATATTTTACATAGCAGGGTATAAAATTAAAGCCTTGTGTTTAAATAAGTTATGTTTCAAATTTGAAGTTGATATGAAAAAATGTCCGATTTCAAAATGGTTTGCACAGGATGAATCTTGGGCTTCTAAGCTTTCAGATGATATATGATTTATTATGATTACTAAAGGATTTGATAGAGAACAGTGACAGTTAAGAGTTTGTTGATTTTTTTTTTTGTTTAAATGTTTGTTGCTGTGGTTATCATTGTGCTAAAGTATAGAGCTTATAATTAATCACTAACTACTAATTACAGCTTCAACAGTGTAATTAGATTACTGTACTCATTACTAACTATGAAAAGTATTGCATTACTTTCTAAATCCCATATCAACCAGTTAAAAAACACAAGGATGGACGAAACCGCTCTATTATTTCTTTCAAATTGTAATATAAAGTTATTCTCGAAGTATTTAAATAGACAAGGTTTGCAATTTAATTTTGATGTTAAATCCACCGTTTTATATAGAATTTTTCTACAGCTCATGTTATTTAATGCAATTACATCAAAAATAGTTGTAAATAAATTACAGAAACATTTTTAGAAAAACAGAAGCTTAATTACTTGATAATGCATTACTACCAAACACTTTTGGTGAAACTGTAATCTGCATTAACCATGTAAGCCCAAATTTATGCAAAACAATTTATAAATAAATTTTGCATGTGCAATTATAGCAGTTAATTTGAACTGAAATAAACCAGAATCATTTATTTCAGGGCCACCATTTAATAAAGTTGAAAAAATTAGTTAACTTAATATTTTTTGAATCATCAATTTAAAATGTGTGTTTGTACAACAAAATATTAAGCTCCTCTAACTGAGTAAACACAATTTTATTAGAAATCGTCATAACTCCAAACGATTAATGCAAACTGTTATATGTATTTATTTATTTTTTGAGCCAAAACTTTAGTTTTTAGCGTGCAGAAACTACAAGCCAAAAACATGAAGTCCAGTTCTGATACTGATTCATTCCTTTATTAAGGTTGCACAGGCATGTAGAGTAAAAAATACTTGTGATTAAAAAATCTGTTAGAACAATGAATCAACAGAAACGTCCCAAAATTTCAGGCTACAAAGCAAAATAAAAAAATATACATATGTATATTCGTCCGTCATGCATGAGCTAAGCCTCGTCGATTATTGATGCTCTTAAATACTGATTATGAGAGAATAATGCTTCATTCTGTACACATGAGAGAAAAGAGAACAGAAATCGCTTCAGAAGGCCTTCCCGTCGGATCATTGCCTAATACGACATTCAATCTGAGACGAACGAGCTGTGAATCGTGAAGAGACGATCGCCGCTGATCTTCAGACACCAAACAGGTACAAAGAGATTCAGATTCTGGGTTTATTAATGTAGTGTTATCATTAAGTCTGTGCAGCTTTTTCTTGCATGATCATACTGTGGAATAGAGAGAGACGGCGGTTTGATGAATTACGCGATCGCTTTGGCTTCAGGTAAGAACGCCTCCCAGTATTTTATCATCTGAAAAACAGACAAAACAAACATGAGATGAACATTCCCAGCTGCTGATCTGGAAAACATGCTTCTTTCCTCTGATCACGCACCTGCTGCTGTGTGTGAACTAGTGACTCCAGATATTTAATGATGACGACTCTGAAATCCTTCACTCGGTCTTTCTGCGAAGAGAAAGAGACACTGAGCTCAGAGAAACCAGCGTTGGGTTTAACAGCGAGAGCAAAGACACGCTACTCACCTCGAATCGTCCAACCTCTCGACGGATGTTTTTTGATATCTGCTCAAAATCTCTTTCACCCTGCTGCACTTTACCTTCCCACTAAACACACACATGTGTGAGTGTGAGTGTGTGAGTGTGTGAGTGTGTGTGAGTGTGTGAGTGTGAGTGTGTGTGTGAGTGTGAGTGTGCGTGTGTCAAACACAAAGAGCTGAAAAACTGTCCATCATGAGCAGAACAGTCAGTCACATCAGGTCAGAAGGTCTAGTGAGCGTATGATGATGATTTATGGAATGAGGGCATGAACTATAATGAATCCTGCATTAAAAACTACAACTAAACAACACAAGACATCAGCTTTTATTAAATACTACAAATGAACCAGCAGCTGGTAAAGGAACAGTTCACCAAAAGATGAAAACGTGTTGAATTTCTTCATCAGGTTTGTAGAAATGTAGCATTGCATCAGTGTCTCAGCAATGGATGCTCTGCAGTGAATGGGTGCCGTCAGAATGAGAGTCCAAACAGCTGATAAAAACATCACAATAATCCACAAGTAATCCACAGCACTCCAGTCCATCAGTTAACATCTGGAGAAGACAAAAGCTGAAACACATCCAGCATTAAGACATTTTTAACTTGAACCTGGAAATGTTTCGTGCTTAAAAGAATCAATAACTGTCATGAATTCCTGCAGCTGTCAGGTGATTCGAGGTAAACACAGTAGAGATATGGATGAACCGAAGGGAGGGAAGGCAAACAAACGTGCTGGATAATTCCCATCAGCCCCAGCGCTCTCACAGTGTTTCCTCATGATGAGTCTGAGGTGTTCTGTACCTCTCTGATCTCGTCTTTGGCCTGCTGCAGTTTGTCGGGTTTGTTGGCGTGCTGTAGTTTGGCTTCGGCTTCTCTCTTGCGCTGCAGCATCACCTGAGCATCCTGGCATTTGGCCCATGTTTTCATCCGCTGGTCAAACACGCCCTGCAGCACAGACACGTGACAAAACCAGCGCATCATGAAGCCCTGCACTCGTGCATGGGGTTTTAGGAAGCCAAAAATAGCCTTTATATTATGCATTAATAATTTCTGCTTTAGTGCTTTCAGTCTGAGCAAATCTCATATCACACACTCTCAAACACAGTAACATACTGTTTGTCATTATAGTTATGATGCAAATTCAATGAAAAACAGTTTAAATATTAAATGATTCTGTTTGCATGATCCTGTGAATGAAACAAATGAAAGCGGGTTCATCTGTTCAATGTTCCTGTGGCTCAGTGGTAGAGCATTGCTTTAGCAGCGCAAAGGATTGTGGATTTGATTCCCAGGGAACACACATACTGGTAAGTAGAGCATTGCGTTAGCAGCGCAAAAGGTCGTGGGTTCGATTCCCAGGGAACACACATACTGGTAAAACATTTATAGCCTGAATGCACTGTAAGTCGCTTTGGATAAAAGCATCTGCTAAATGCATAAATTTAAAAGGCAAAAGTTCATTTATAGTATTATTATTATAGAGATCATATGTGACCCTGGACCACAAAATCAGTATTAAAGGTCGCCTGAAATGCTTAGAAACACGTAGCATTACTCTGTGTTGACGTCATTTTAACTGAAACAGGAAGACAGGGCGGGACATATCAAGCAGCCCCGCCCCTTTTTAAAATAGCCAATAGCGTTCGTTTATATCACAGCTTGGGCTAGAGCCGTTCAGAGCTGTTGAGCTCCGTAAAAAACTTAATTTTTGATTAGTAATATGCATTGATAAGAACTCCATTTGGACAACTTTAAAGATGATTTTCTCAATATTTAGATTTTTTTGCACCCTCAGATTCCAGATTTTCAAATATTGTCCTATCCTAACAAACCATACATCAATGGAAAGCTTATTTATTTATCAATTTCACAAAATTGACTCTTATGACTGGTTTTGTGCTCCAGGGTCACATATGTTTTTGACATCTTTTATGTTTGCCTTGTCAGAAAACTAACTGAAGTTTATTGGAAAAACGGCCAGATGAAACGCTCAGGATGTCTTCCACTCACTTTAACGGCGGTGATGAGCCGCACATAGTCTCCCAGCAGCTCTGAGATCAGGTAGAAATCAGCGCAGGCCTGATCCTGATGCAGCTGGTCGATCTTCTCCTCCACCTCGGCCAGCTGGGACAGAGCTCGCGACAGCGCCGTGTGATCCTCCGAGTTTCCCAGCATAGCCGCGCTTTTAGCGAACGACGCCGTGTTCACAGACAGCTCTGAGAGTCAGAGAGTGAAGAGTCAGTATGCAGCATATACGCTACTGGTCACAAATCTGGAATAGTTATGAAGGCTCTTCTGCTCACCAAGACTGCATTTATTTGAGCAAAAATACAGTAAAAATGTGAAATATTATTATTAATTAAAACAGTTTCCACAAAAATATTGTGCAGCACAACTGTTTTCAACATAGTAATAATAATCAGAAATGTTTCTCGAGCAGAATATTATACTGATTTCTGAAGATCATGTGACACTGAAGACTGGAGTAATGATGCTGAAAATACAGCT